CCTGCAGAAGATCCTCCAAATCCAATAGGAAGACAGACAATGTTAGTGTCCTCCTGCAAGCAAGCACCATGAGTATAGAGGCAATGATCATCCAACACCAATTTCATTGGGCCAGCTGTGTCATCTGGATGTCCGACTCCTAAAGCAAGTTTTATTCTCCCAGTTCAGCCAAGGTGTACTCTCAGATGGCAGAGAAAGCATTTACGGTGTTGTCCTCAAGGCCAACTTAAAAAATGCAACATCTATGTCAACTTGTGGGATACTATAACCCAGGACTGCCCCAAATGGAAGAAGAATCTGCTGCCGGGATCTCAGTACTTTGAAACCTCACAACAGGAGGTGTAAAAGTGGGAGCAGCAGAAACAGTGTTTTGCAGACCAAGTCGAGAATCCAGCATCACCCATCCCACATGGAAACGCATGTCCAAGCTGCAGTAGAATCTGTCAGTCCCGGATAGGCCTCATCAGCTATCTTCGGACACGCGGATAAGACAATTGTGGAAGACAGTCATCCTCAATTGTGAGGGATTGCCACAGAAGAATACTTTTAGCCCTGAAGGAATGGCTATTGTGATTAGTCTTCATACTTTTACAGGGTCACTCCCTAGAACCCCAGGGGACTGATGGTAATAATGATGATTGTTTAGTGTTACTGAATTCTTCCTACATGATGTTTTGGTCCATCTATTTATTGACAGCCCCTCCTAATGTTTTGGTTTTCAGATGTCATCAGTGTTATCAATATACTTCTATTTCTTGGGCTGAAGTTGTTAATAACATTAAACAAAATTAGTCCTAAAACTTGTCTGTGAGGAACTCTCTAGTAACTTCCCTCCTGCCTGATATTTTCCTTCTCAGCACTGCTGCTTTTATAGTTCCTCTAGTAATCCCCATCTTCTCTAGTTTCACTGGTTTCCCAGGTGGCACTTTATCAAATGCTTTACTAAATTTCATCACCTTTGTCTAAAAAAAAATTAGTTATCAAAGAGAGCTATTGGGATAGCGTGGCACAAACTTCCTCTGGAAAACTTTCATTTTGCCCCATTTTCTACTAGCCTTCAATTTTTAATCTTACCTTCAGATTTCTTGTGAAGTATTGCATATTCATAGATGTAGGGTCAGAAAGGACCTTGCAGATCTTCTAGTCCAACCCCCTGCTCTGGGCAGGAGAGAATACTGGGCTCATATGACCCCAGCTAGGTAATTGTCAAGCCTCCTCTTAAAGACCAGATCCTAGCCGCCCTAACTGTGAAGTAGTGCCTCCTGATGTCTAGTCTGAACCTACTCTCAGTTGACTTACGGCCGTTATTCCTCGTTACTCCGGGAGGCACTCAGGGGAACAAGGTCTCTCCCCCTGGTCCCCCCAGTAAGTTTATAGACAGCCACCAGGTCCCCCCTCAGCCTTCTCTTGTGAAGGCTGAACAGGTTACGGTCCTGTAGCCTCTCCTTGTGGGGCCTGCCCTGCTGTCCCTGGATCATGAGTGGCCCTCCTCTGGACCCTCTCAGTGCTGTCCACATCTCTCCTGAAGTGCAGCACCCAGAACTGGATGCAGTACTCCAACTACAGCCTGACCAGTGTTGCATAGAGGGGTAGGATCACCTCCTTGGCCTTGCTTGTGATGCATCTGTGGATGTATGACAAGGTGCGGTTAGCCCTACTGACTGTGTCCTTGTGTTGGCGACCCATGTTCATCTTGGAATTGATAATGACTCCAAGATCTCTTTCTGCTACTGTGCTTTTGAGAAGAGTTCCCCAGCCTATAGGTATGCTGCTGGTTCTTACTGCCCAAGTGCAGCACCCTGCACTTGTCAGTATTATTGAGGTCAGAGCAGTAAACTTCTGATCCTTGCCATTTTTAACTATAAGTGTGCTGTTTTCCAGTGATGTGGTACCACTCCTAGCTTCATATATGTATTAAAATAATTGTTGCTAGACCTGTTCTCATCTCAAAACCTGGATTTTCTCTTTCTAAGGTTGGAAATGGTGAGTTTCCCCTTACAGGCTGGCCAAGTTCCAGCCTGCAAGGGCCTGGGGGAAGCAGGAGGAAGGCAGTCAGCAAGGGGTGCCATAGGCATGTATGTATGTACACATGTGCATGTACACCTGGAGAGCAGGTCCCACAAGTAAATCTGACTGGCAGGGGAGGTGAGGTGGGAATGGAGGCCCCCATAGTGAGGGAGGAAGGGAGTTGGGCAGGGCTGGGGCCCAAGGCAGGAATGCGGGGAGTGGGACAGGGCTGTGGGCAGCTTGTCCAAGAGACTGTGGGGGACTGGCTCCTTGCTGCTGCATGCATTCCCCAAGGGGGCATGGTGGGGCACATGTCCCCCAGATTTTGCTAATGGGGGCAGGGGTGGGTTGCTTGCTGCAGGGTTGGGCACCCTGCTGCCCCATTCCTTGGGGCCTCTGCAGCCCAGCAGGTGGGATCCGGCAGAGCAGAGCGGGGTGGGGAAGCTCAGTGTCATTGCCGCAAGCCTTGCACTGCCCATGGTCAAGTGCCCCCTGCCCAGCCAGAAGCAGCAGGGGTGGCGGTGCAGAGTTGTGTCTCGCTGCCTGGGTAGGCAGAGGGCACCTCGCCATGGTGGCAGCAATGAGCTTCCCCACCTGGCCCCACTGTCCTGTTGCACCGAGTCCTGCCCATTGGGCTGTGGAGGCCCCAGGAAGAAGGCGACAGGGCAGGGAGCCCTGA